CTCGCAAACTCTTGGTCTGGCTTTTTGCTCCGTTACAAGCGTGCAAACCATCCGTTAGCCTCCAGCTTTTTTCCATGTGACGATCGATGGGTTAAAATCAGCCGTCCACCCCCATGCGTGCAATTAATTAATTAGTTAAATAGGATTTTGGTGTCAGCGTCAGGAGCTGCACAGGGTGGGGAGGGGATGCAGCAACATCTGCCTGCCTGGGGACCTGGGTGAGCACCCATCCCCGGATATCTGCTGAGCATCCGTCGGGAGCGCTCGGAGCGGGTCCGAGCTGAGGTCGAGCTCATGGCCAGGGACGGTGTGATGGGAACAGGGATATTTCTGCTCCCGGCACTGCAGGGAGCCTTTTCCCAGAGACAAATCTCCCGCCTGGGGATGCACACGAAGAAGGGCCGTGCCAACGCGGCGCAGACATCTCCCCCGAAGGCAGCCCCAGCCCGACCCCGGTACTCGCCTGTCAGTCCGAGGAGCATGCCTGGGGGGGGGGGCCGCTTGGACCGGTTGTGGCAGAGCGAACGACACCAGATTGAAAATCAGGGAGAAAAAACAAGAAAAAAAAAATCAAAACAGATCACTTGAGATCAACAGAACAGTCCCAGTTGGTGGGTTCTAATTATTAGCGAATATTAATGGTTGGGGAGGGGGGCCGGGAGCTCACCTGCGGGTGAAGGGGAAGTTGATGGAGGTGCTGGCGGAGAAGTTGCGTGGGCTGTCCAAGGGGCTGCTCCCGGCTGCGGGAGAAAGGGGGAAAGTCACCCCAAAGGGGGAAAGTCACCCCAAAACCCACACCGGCGTGACACCCGGGGTGCTGCGGGCAGCTCCTTCAGGGGAAAGAGAGGGTAAATCCCTCCCCAAGCTATTCCCTCCCGGAAAAGGCACCCGCGGCCAGGAGCCAGCCCGCTGCTGCTAACGAGGTGCTGCAGAAGCAGAAGGGTTACCCTCCAAAATATTCGGGTGCTTCTGGGAGATGCTCAACCCATCCCCCGGCACAGCCCTTACCTGTCGGCACGGAGAGGGGGGAGAGAGGCCGCGAGAGGGT